GCGGGTGGGATTGGGGGTGAGTTTCTGATGAATCACAGAAGCCAGAGCCCTGAGGAAAGGTGGGATCAGGCCCTGGGTTGAGCTGAGGGAGGTGTTGGGACTAAGATTAGATTAGGAGAGAGTGGGAGTTCTACTCTCAGCAGCGTTTGGGACCGAGGGAGAGTGAGGAGAGAGCCCTGTTCCTGTGCCCATTTCCCGGACCTGCCCTCTTTCCTTCTGTCTCCCAGGAGCAGCTCTCGCCAACCAGGAAGCACCAGCCCCTGGTGGCACCCTCAGTCACCATTGAGGGAAGGTCACACAGTTCCCCGGGCCAAGTTAGGGCCAAAGGAGGCTGGGATTCTGAGATGGAGAGAAGGTTCCGGTAGGCTCAATATTGGGTGAGGGATGGGGATGAGATTGCAATTCGAGTCGAGCATAGAGATAGGGATGTGGTTGGAGTTAGGGAGTGAAATTACCTTTTTAAGGCCCAGATCTGTTCCTAACACCCCTGACCCCCTCCAACCCCAGATCAAGCCTAGCAGTGGCTCCCCCTTGCCTTTGGAATAATGACCTCATCCCCTCACGTGGCCCCTGTGGCTTCCTCGTAGGTCTCACCCCCCGCCCCCCTGGGCCCCCACGTCCCCCTTGGCTCTCTTCTGTCTGGGACTGGGTGCCTTTCATTCATCAGCAGCAGACGCTAACAGAACTGGGCATTGTCAGGCCCTAAGAATACAATGTAACCAAAGCAAATCCCTGCTCTCCCTCTGAAGCCTACATTCTAGTGGGGGAAACAGACCATATTACCTAACAACCAAGTAAATTAAATATGTTAAATAGTGATAAGTGCTGAAGGGAAAAAATAAAGCAGGGAAGGATAATATAAAATACAGGGGAGCAAACTTCAGAGAGTGGCCAGGGACTAGCTCTTTAAGAAAAGGACTTTTGAGTAAAGACATGAAAGAAATGAGGTCAGCTCCTTCCAACCACAGGGCCTTTGCATACTCTATTCCCTCTCTACCTCTTGGACCTGGTTAACGTTTCCTCTTCCTTCTGATCTTAGCTTGATAATTGCTTCATCAAGGAAGGCCAAATTTAACTATTAATGGCTCTCACAGCACTGTAGCGAATGTCTTTGATTGATGTCCATCTTCCCCACTAGATTAGACTGTCTGTAATCTGGCTTGGTTTTCTCCCCACCTCCTAGAATGGTATCTGGTACCTGGGAGACTCTCAAAACAGGATTCTTAATGGTTTGATGGTTAATGAGGATGAGTACAGGGTTGGGAACTGAATCAACAATGAGGTTGGAATTAGGGTGAAAATTCAGAGAGGAGAGCTAGGTTGGGGTAAGCGTGAGGGGCAGGGAGTGATGTAGGGGAGGGAAATGGGTTAAGGGGATAGAGAGGATTGGGAAGAAGGCTGGGATGAAAGTTATGCCTGTGCTCTGGGTGACCGGCAGGGCTGTCTCACCTGCCTGGGCACAGTCCTGTCCCCAGATGAGGACAGGAACTGTCAAGCTTGTCAGGCTCTCCCTCCTGGGCTCCGCTCAGCCACTCTGATGACTCTTGGGGGTTGCTAGGAGCCTGATGATGCAAATTCACCTCTTAAGATGTCAATTCCATGCAAATTATCCCAGCTTATTGCCTTCTAGCCACTCCCCTTCCCTTGAGACTGTGCCCCCAGGGGGTCACTAAGGTTTGGTGAGGAGCAGAGTGGTGTGGAGTGGGAATTGAGGCTCAGGGGGTCGGGAAACTGCACCTCCAGGCCCCTCTGGGATTCAGGGTCCTAGTGCAGTGGGGGGAAAAGGTCCAGCCTTAACCTTCTCATCCAGCAGAAAGGTTACTCTGTGAGGGGGTGGGGAGGAGGCAGGGGCACACAGGCGGCCTGGAGGGTAGGGTGGGAGGGGTCCTTGGGGAAGGTGTAGAAGAGTTTGGGTGTCACCACAAATGGTAGGGATCTACCTCCATCCCCCAAAAGCTGCCTCCTCAAATCATAACGCACTATCAATAGGTCACCCAGGCAATCCCTCTGTCCCAAACAAAGCAGGAGTGGTGGCTCTGAGTTTGATTAGGGCTCAGGTCTAGAGTGGGAATTAGGTTCCTGAGGGAAACAGAGACGGAAATGGGATGGTGGGGATATGAACGTGCCTGGGGACATGCATGGCATTGGGCATTGGCATGTAGATGGGGCACTCCCCAGTTCCAACCAAAACGTGGATACGTGACTCTGGGTAGGTGCTCGTTGGGCTGAAGAACTGGTTCTCCTGGACCCGGGGTGGGCCTGGAGAGCAGAGGAGGCCCCTGGGAAGCTTGCTGGGTTGGCTCAAAATGGGCCACCCACACAGGAAGCCGAGTGCTCACTGCTGGGGCATTCCCCTCTCCCGCCCCACTCCACCTGAAGCCCTGCAAGGCAAAGAGCAACCCCTGGGCCCCACCCCCTAGGACAGAGAGAAAAAAGTCAAATTGGGTCTCTCCTCTGTTTAAAACTTGCCAGAGGTTAAAACAAAGTTGCCCTTAGAATCAAATCCAAGGATTAGTGTGGCCTACAGGACCGTGCATGATCCAGCTTCTGTCCACCCCTCGGTTACCTTATTCCAGCCACTCTGGCCTTCTCTATGCTCCTCGAACCCACACCCTTCAAGGCCCTTGCGCTTGCGCCGCCTCTGGTCTGTAACACCTTCCCCCCAAGCTATTCCAAGTGTTTTGTTCTTCTCATCCAGGTCACAACTCAACTGTCACCTCCTCAGAGTGGCCTTCCCTGACCACTAGACCTAGGGTTTCACCTCCTCACCCCCCGGTCACGCTAACACACTGTCTGGTTTCATCTCTCAACTGCACTAGCAAGCATCTGAAAGGCTTTATCTGTTCCTGTGTTCATTTATGTGTTTGTTGTCTGTCTCCCAGTAAGTCAGTGGAAGTAGGGATGGTGCCAGGGGACTCACAGCTTCTTCCACCACGTCTCGAAACCCGTCTAGGGAGACAGGAGCCATGAGGCAAGCAGATTCTAGAATGTCAGTGCTGGAAGGGACTTTCCAGGTCTTCTCATCCGTTCTATCTATCTGACAGATTTGGGCCACCAAGGCTGAGGGACTTGCTCAAGTCCAGCTGAGGAAAAGGGCTGGCTTGCTTCCCACTATACCAGTCGCCTTCCAGACTGACCGAAAAGCATAGAGGGGTCCAGAGTGCAGGCCCCATCTGACAGGGTTCGAGCATGACATGAGCCCCTTCCCCTCGTCCTGTCCCCAGAGGTGCCCAGAGCCCAGGCAGAATCCTACAGGCTGCCAGGTGTGTCTCTCCAATAAATCTCCCTCCAAGCTGGCTTTCTGGGAAACCAGATTCCAGTGATCCTCCTTCTCCAGCTTGGGGGCATTTTTAGGATGAGCATGCTTTCTAATGCTCACTTGGGTGCAGGCCAAGGATTGTTCGTCCTCTTGGAGGGACAGGCTGCCTGAGAATGCCCCGACATCACTCCAGCCTGTCCTGGTCCTGCTGTTCTAAGCCAAAGCCCAAGTCTAAGGGGCTGGCACATCCAGCCTCTGCCACAGTCCTTCTGGCCACATGGGGGCGCCCCTGGGTATTTCTTAGTCCTTTGAATTTGTTCTAAAATGAAAAAAATCTGGTGATTTTGGCTAAATTTTTAGATTGGAATCTGTGGGTAAGATATCCCCAACACACTTCTTCGTGCACAATGGCATGGGGATTCTCTTCTCCCATTATCACAGATGCAGGAAGTGAAAATCTGACTCTCGGCATAGTCAAGGACTGTCTGCCCCTCCCTCCTCTCCAGCCCCAAAGACACTGTGACTGTGGCCAGAAACAGGCTGTGACCAGGGTTTGGTCAGGCACAGAATTTGACTCAGGAGGCAGAGGATGTCAGGAGGGCTGGATCTGAGGTCTAGAGAAGCAGGAAACCAGGAAGGTGTTGGGTGGCTGCGGAGAAAGATATGGATGACCAACTTGAGGGCTGCACAAATCTCTATTTTTAAGGGCTATACAGCTGAAAGGGAGAACATCAGACTCTCCAGATAACCATCTGTTTCAGTCAGGATGGGCAGGATTATGCTGCAACAACAACAATCCCCAAATCTCAATGGCCTTAACGCAACAAAAGTTTCTTTCTTGCTCAGCTCCATGACCAGCTCAGGTCAGCAAGGGGCTCTGCTCTAGTCCCTCAGAGACAGAAGCTGATGGAAGTGCCATCTCAACTGGTGCTTCTAGAACAGCAGAGGCAGAGAGAAAACTGGCAGGCTCGTGCCTGCAATTAAATGCTCCAGCCTGGAGATGACCCATATCATTTCTGCTTGTAGCTCATTGGCCAAAACTCATCCATGACCCCACCCATCCACAAGAGAGCCAGAGATTGAGTCTTTCGTGTGTCCAGAAGAGGAACAGGATCTCAGTGGCAACACTAACAACTCCCACACCCAGAAGCTGGATTCTCAGGCTTTGCAAAATACCTGCTTTTTTCCTATCAGCCCCTTGAGTCTGGCTATTCCTTCACCTCCTGATGAATGACGCACTCTGGGAGGTGAAGGCAGGAATGTAGGGCCTGGCTAGTTGGTGAGTTGGGCTGGGAGGCTTCCTGTCTCCAGAACAAATGATCCAGGAACTCACTGCTACTCCTTCCTTCTCCATTCCCCTGGTCCCCCACCCACCTACATACACACGTACATATATCAAAACAAAAATGAAATGGGAGCCAAATATATTGGTTTTTATTGAACTCACGGGGCTCAAGGACAAAAAAAGGGGTGGGGATGGGACACGAGCTGGGAAGAGACTCCCCACATACACATCCAAGCCAGGGAGCCTGGCCCCGAGCTCTAATTCTAACTTTCCCCTAAAACACGCTGCAGTCCAAGTGGACCAGGCTGCAGATCAAGGGCACACATCCTTCTTGCCCAGTTTCCAGGCTCTTCCAGAGAAGGAAGTTGGATTGGTTGGTCCTAGGCTTGGAGGAAAGTGGAAACAAAAAGGCAAGGCAGGAGAAAGAGTTCGGGGATTGGGGAGGACTGAAAAGGACAGCTCCGAGTCCCAAGCCAAGGGTCCCAATGGGAGGAGGTAGATTTTCACAGGAGAGGGGAGCAGGAGGCCGCCCAAAGTAGGGCAAAGGATGATGGGGTTCCTTCCTTTTGGAGGAGCCTGTTGTGCGTTTGACGTCAGCCAGCAGCTTCTCACCCTGGACCCTGCTGTATTGGTCCCTCACAGCTTAGGGCCCAGTTCACATGATGCTAGAGCCATCTTGGGTGGAAAAGGTCCCCACCTGCAGAGGAGAAGGTTCAGGCTGACAGAGAACAGAGAGGGCAGCATGGCCTAGAGGACCCTGAGAAGTTGGCCCTCCTCATGCTTGGGCCTTTCTCTCCCAGGTGGTAGGAGGAGGGGGTTAGATGGAGACGCTGTTCTCGATGAGGGGAGGGTCCAGGTAGGCGTAGGGCAGCGCCAGGCTCTGGTTGCGATCTCGGATGTCCCTCGAGATCTGGGCCAGGCGGCCCTGGAAGGCAGCGATGCTCCGCCGCGGGGCCTCCTCAGTGAAGTGCTCGTCCGGGTAGGTGCCGAGGGGGCGCTGGCGGAGTCAGGATGACGTTGAGGACAGGACGGAGAATAATGAAAGACCCCATTTACCAACAAATACAGTCAAGTGACTTCTTAGGGCATGACCCAGCTACAGCTACTGTAAACGCAAACCCTTCAAACCACAACCCCAAACCTCCACTCCACGCAATCTGCACAGAGTAGCCCCCAACACCCACAGCAGAATGGGACTTGGAAACTAGCCAACCCAAGGTTAATGCTCCCTGTCTGGTAACCCTCTGCCTATTACTCTGACCCTGAGACTCAGCTTCTGCATCTGAAAGTGAATGGATTAGACTAGAAAATCTTTAAAGGTTCCTTCCAGTGCCTGGTCCACTGCTCTGTGAATTAAAAGAACACAACCACATTCATAACTCAACTGAAATCAACATAAACACTCCAGCAAATAAGCCCAAGAATACACCTATTACCTCACAGTTTCACAAAATTCAATCTCTGAAGACAACCAGATCTGAGGCATCTTCCCAAACAACGGACGTAATGAAACTTTTGCGAACACAGTCACCATCACCATACACTGTCACACTATACAGCATGGCCAGCCACACTCAAGAAATACCACCATGAACAATGCCACCCTGTGCAGTACAGGACTGCCCCTCTCTCCATGACCACACAACCAGTTCACCCTCACAGTTCACTCGGCCAGTCTCCTAACCAGCACACACTTCCCACCCAATACAACCTTCACACAAACGAACTCTTGCCAGTAATACTGATGTTTAAAAAATTCTTTGTCTTGTTTTATTGTGCTGGCGAAGCCTTCCAGACGGTGTTAAATAACAGCAGTAACAGTGGGCGTTGTTTTTTTGTCTCTGACCTTAATGAGGAGACCTCTCTTGTTTCACCATAAGGACAGTTTTCTGAAATATACCTTTTATCAAAACTCCGTAAGGGAGTTTCATTTTACACTGAGTTTTTATTAGTAACAGCTGTTCACATCTATCAAATGCTTCTTCAGCATATATTGAAATGATTATATGGTGTGTTTCCTTACTGATGTAATGAATCATATTGTTAGATTTCATACGGTTGAACCAACCTTTCATTCCTTTCATTCGTAGAATAAACTAGACTTCGTCATGGTGTATTATTATTGGACTATTTACTATTGGCCTTCATTGGCTCCTGATATATTTTTAAGACTGTGGTAGCTAAGTAGAATGAGTTTATAATTTTATATTCTTAATGATAGCTACCATGTTGCAAGCAATTTATGTGGACTGTCACAATGGCACAACAATCCTGTAAAACAGGTACCCTGAATCATTCCCACTTTACAGATAAAGACACTGGGGCTTAGAGAGGCCTGATTACATATCCAAGGTGGGAGGTGTGGGTCTGAGACTGGAACCCTCTACCCCAGACCCACCCCCCTTCTTAAGAGTACTACCTATGCCAGGTGCTGGTATTAGGGTTCCCAGTAAAATGTAACCCAGTAAAATGATTTGAGAAGCTTCTATACGTTCAAGCAGTTTGAATAATTTAGGAATTACTTGTTCCTTGAAGGTTTAATAGAATCTCCCTTTGCAGGGAGAAGGATCAGATCTTTTACAACATTTTCCATTTATGTATGGCTTTCATCTCTTCTGGTATTAAGTTTTGGTTGTTTCTGTTTTCCTAGAAAATCATTTATGATTTTTTTATGATCATCGAGATTTTCAAATTTGCTTGCATAAAAGTCTAAGTAGTATTTTCTTCTAATTTTTTCAATCTTCTCTGTATTCGTGGCTGTATGCCTCTCCCATTCCTAATGTTGTACATTTAGGTGATTTTTTTTCTTGATTAGAATTGTCTCTGGTTTCTTTATTTTATTGGTCATTTCAAAGAATCAGTTTTTTTGTCTTATTTACCAGATTGACATCTAATATCTAAAACTACAGTGGAGTGTAGCTGTCAAAAAAGAAAACACTGAAAGTCAAATACCATATCATCTCACTTATAAATAGAAGATAAAAACAACAACAAAGTTGTGTTACTGAAATAAAGATTATGAATTTGTTTTTACTGTTCTAGAAACATACTGCCAGATTATTTTTCAAAAGTATTTTACCAGTTTACCATGATACCACCATATATGAGAGTGCCATTTTCTTTGTGTTCTTGCTAAGGTTGGGTGGTGCTTTGCAATAAAAAACTTTAAATTGGTAAAAAAAAAAAAAAAAAAAAAGCAGAACACAGAAATATCACAGACTGGGTTCAAAGCTCATTACTAGCTATGTGACCTTGGGCAAATTGCTTAGTGTCTCTGAACCTCAGGTTTCTCCCCTGTAAAATGAAACTACCATTTATTGAACATGTATATGCTAGGCACTGTATTAAGCATTTCAAATATAGCTACTTATTTAGTTTGTATTTTAAAATAGTGTACATAGTGTCTCTGTTTTAATGACTGAGACATGATGGATCCTCAGGGAGTGATAGCTGCTGTTATTGTTGTTGTTGTTATAATTTTGCAGGTTAAACTTCCCACTGGCTTATGAGGAGGGAACCCTCCACCCTCATCCTCTTGCCTGCTCATCCCTTTCCACTGTGATGCTGTGATTTACAATAAGAAATATATATTTGGTCTTCGCCCTTTTCCTGCACAGAGTTCCTCATACCCTTATAAGTGATAAGAATGTAAAAAAGGGTCTTTCATTATTCAAAATAAACCCGTTTCAACCATACCTGAGTTTATGTTAATAAGGTGACTTCTGGAAAGCCCCTTAGGTTGGGGGCTGATTGACAGGGGAATCAACCATGTGATTAGAGGGTTGGAATTTCAGTCCCACCCCCCAACCTCTGGGGAGGGGATAGGGGCTGGAGGTTGAATTAATCTCCAGTGGCCAATGATTTAATTAATTGTGCCTATGTAATGAAGCCTCCATGAAAATCTCTAAAGTACAGGTTTGGAGAGCTTCCAGGGTGGCGAACACACGGAGGAGCTGGGAGAGAGAGCACAGAAGCTGTGCACCCCTTCCCGCACCTTGCCCTATGCTTTTCTTCCCTCTGGCTCTTCCTGAGTGGTATCCTTTTATAATAAACCAGTAACCTAGTAAGTAAACTGTTTTCCTTCTGTAAGCTGGTCTAGCAAATGACTGAACCTGAGGAGGGGGCTATAGAAACCTCTGATTTATAGCTGGTTGGTCAGAAGCACAGGTGGCAACCTACGCTTGTGATTGGCAGTTGACGGCTAAAGGGGGCACGGGGAGGGGCAGTCTTGAGGACTGAGCCCTTAACCTGTGGGATCTGACACTATCTCCAGATAGATGGCATCAGAATTGAGTTAAATTATAGGACACCCAGCTGGTGTCTAAGAGTTGCTTGGTGTGGGAACAACCCCACACATTTGGTGGCTGTTGAGTATTGAGTGAGAACAGTAATAGAGTATTCTGTGGGTAGACAAAAAACAGAGAGAGTTTTTCCTCTATAACAAAAGAAATGAATGTCTCCAAATACTTGGCAGATGGGACCAGAAAGGAGCAGGATCCAGGGATGTGTTCCTGGCATTCCCAGGCTATGAGATGGTAAGTTAAAACTTGTTAGGAAGATAAAATATCTGCACCAGACAGAGTCCAGCATGAGAAATGAGGATATTCATGTAATGTCAGAGAACTTGTGAGCAAGGCCAGGAGGGCAGAGGCATGACTGAGAACACAATGTGTAAATGGAGACGACGGTAATTGGTGATTAAAAGGCTGCTGCACTGGCCTAGCCTATGTAACAGCCTCCTCACTGGCCGTCCTGCCTCCAAAACTGCCGTTCTTTTCCAGCCACACAGCCATAGAAGTGCCTCTGCTAGAACACAAATTTAGCCATGTGATCCCAGGCTTAAAACTCTTCAATGACTCCTGGCTCCCCACTGTCCTCTGAATGAACACTGTGCCCACACTGAACCATTTGTGATCCCACAATCACACCAACAGACTCTCGCCTTCACTTTACTTGATTTCACTCGGTCACATCCTTCCCTCTGCTTAGAAACTAATCCTGTGCCTCCTTTGTCTGCCGAACTCCTAATTGTCACACAGGTTTCAGCTTAGATGTCACTTCCTCCAAGAAGCCTTCTTGGGTTTGCCTAGACTCTGTCAGTTTCCACAGAGGCCCCATCCTCACCTCTGTCACTACACTGTAAGCTCTCGAGGACAGGGATAATATCTGCCCACCAGTGTCTGGTACATTGTAGGTACTGAAGAAGTATGTGTTGAATGGAGGAATTAGTATATAAATAATTCCTACAACACTGTGGTGCCCTTTTTCATTTCCCTGTGTGTCTCCTCAACTGGACCGTTGGATTTTTGAAGGCAGGAAGGTCTTGTTCACCTTTATATGCCTGGTGCCCAGTGCTGTGTTGACACATGGGAGGTATTCAAAAAACGTGTGTTGAATGTTTGGATGAATGGATGAGCAGTTGATGGGTGAATGGTTGACTGATGAATAAATGGATAGAGGGATGGGTGGATGGATGGACAAATGGGTAGATAGATTGGTAACCTGGTGAATTGGATGGATGTTGTGCCCCAGCCACTACACTGGTATTTGCTTCAATGTATGTCTTCTGGGATCAACTATCATCTCCAGGAGAAACTGAAGACCCCAAAGCAGCTCAGCAGTGGGCATAAATGCCAGCAGTCAGTCCCCAAGCCCCCCTGGAACAGCTACCACCACCCCCACAATGCCCAGGCCCTGCAAACCCCCACCCCGACACCACCCCACCCCACCCCACACACACACCTGGTCTTTGGGCTCTTGGCTGACCAACCAGAAGAGGAGAAGGTTTTTACAGGTGATGTTCACTTCTGGGAGAGTGTCTAGGTAACTCTTCAGGGTGGTGGTCCCCTTGGCCTGTGGTGGGGGCTGCCTCATGGATGATGGGGCATTGGGCATCCAGGCCCCAAAGTCATGCTGTGGAGAGCCCCGCCCCAGCTGAGTCAGCTGGTCAGAGGGAGAGGACCAGCTCCTTCACCATCATCCCTGATCCTGCCCCTACCATCTCAGATCTTGCAGCTGGGAAATGAGGGGATTGTGGAAAGGGAAGAGGAGGAGGGGTATAGGGTAGAAAGTTCCAGAAGTGGGTCAGAGCCTGGCTCACCCCTTGTCACTCCCCGCCCAATGTTCCAGGACTGGGTGGAGTGAATCACCAAGGAAAGAGGAGGACCCAGAGAGGAGATAACCCTAGGAAAGGGCCTTGGGCTGGCATGCCACACAGAGCAACCTGTACTCTACCTAGCCGCATCCCAACCATGACAGGAGCCCATAAGGTCTACTCCCTACACAACACCAACTCGAGTCACCATTACAACCTTGGATCCAGCTCCACCCATCATCATCCAACACCAGCTCTGATCATAAACCCACCCCAACGCTGACCTACCCATACTCTCAACCCAAACTCTGGCCTCACGTCCATTGCTGAGCCCATGCCACCTTGCATGGCCCAGCGCTCCCCAGGCCTGCCCTCTGCAGCCTCACCTGCCCACTGTTGACAGCAGCGTGCTGGGCGGAGCAGTTGAAGATGATTGCAGTGAGGAACTTCACCAGCTCTCTTGAGGTGCACAGCTGGCGTGGGAAGCCTGGATATAGAAGGAAGGGAAGAGGGTGTGGATGGAGGGGACCGGATTCCTAGGGGCAGCTCAGGGCAGGGGGAGAGTGAGGAAGTGAGGGCTAAATATTTGGCCACCACTGTCTTTAGACCAAAATTAGGGTTGGGCTGAGGTTGGGGATGGTCAACACCAAGGTTTGTGGTCTCTGAAGGTGGTCAGGATAGGAGCTGGGTGCTGGGATCAGAGCAGAAAATGACCAGCCAGCAGGGCTCACAGCAGAGGAGGCAGGTTCAAGCCAACAGCCAAGCTGCCTCTCCCCAACCACCAAGGCACTTCTGTCTGCAGCTCACATTAGTGCTTAATGGCTTAATTCTATGATTTAAAATGATTTAATTAATCTTCACCAAGATTTGTCCAAGCACCCAGGAGCAGATCATCCACTGTGGGGTTTAGTAGCAGAGACAGACGACCAGAGAGTGTTACTCATAAGCTTGCAGTGATGGAAGCAGAAGGAAGCTCTAAGGCCAGGGCTTGGCTCTTTGTGGGGAGGGCAGGCAGGGCAGAAACAGGCTCTGGGGCTAACACAGTTATGGGAGACTTTCCTAGAGGAAGAGAAGGGGCCTCCCTGAGCTGAAGACTGGGTGAGCTTTGAATGGAAAAAAGATGACCGAAGAAGGCATTTTCAGGCTCAGCCCGTGGTCCTCTTCTCTCTGTACCTCACTGGTCTCATCCAATTTTATGGCTTTGACCACCTCCCACTGGCTGACAATTCCCAGATCCACATCTCCGGCTCTGCCTGGCCCCTGAACTTGAGACTCAGCAGCAGGCACAAATCCTCAGCTGCTCCCTGCCATCTCCACCTGAGTGTCTACAAGGCATCTCACACTTAACATTTGCAAAACCTAATGCTTGACTCCCCAACCACACACACTCCCCAAACCCGTCCTTCCCACAGTGGGCCCATTTCAGAACTCTTATCCAGTTGCTCAGGCCAGAATCTGTGCACTCACTCCTCTTTTTGTCTCATACCACACATATCAGCAGATACTTCCAGAAGCCAATCTTGTCTCACCACCTCCAGTCTCCACCACTGCCTAGTCTCCATCATCTCGCTCTTGGATGAAACTGACTGCTTCCACCCTTGCCCCTGACAGCCTTTCTTCACAAGACAGCCAGAGTGAGTGATCCTTTAGGATCATAAAGTGAATTATGCCACCCCTTGCTAAAACCCTCTAAGGGCTTCCCATTTCACTTACCTACTATGGCCCTACTTGATCTGGCTCTTGCTCCTTCTCTGCTTCATTTCCTTCCCTACTTTTCTCCCTCTCGCTTACTCTCTTGAAGCCCTCAAACCCACCAACACGCTCCCACCTCAGGGCCTTTGCACTCCCTCTACCTCTGCCTGTATACTCTACCCAGTTAGTCACGGAACTAGCTCTCTCACTTCCTTCAGGTGTCTACTTGAACATCACCTCCTCAGAGAGGCCTTCCCTGACCACCTATCTGCAATGATCCCCTACCTCAACACACTATATCCTCTTATGCTGTTTCACTCTTCTTAGCATTCCTAACCACCTGACATATTTATTACCTGTCTCTCTTCACAAGAGCATTAAGCTCTGTGAAGGCCAGGACTTTTGTCTGTCACGTCCTGGCTGAACCCCAGCACCTAGAACAATACTTAATATTAAAGAGCCCCGTAAGAATTGGTTGAATGAAGTGAATGCGTGAGAGGTTAAGAAGCCAGAGTGGGAAGGATGGAGTCTAAACAAGGTGACGGGACAGGGAGGAGGCTTAATTGGAGATGAGGCTACAGCAGTGAGCCAGGCCAGGTGGTTTCCAGGCAGTATTTCAGAGGATTACCGGGGCGGTGGACCCGCAGGCTTGGAGGGCAAGGAGTGAGAGGCTGGGAGAGGTGGGACTGGTTAAGAGGCAGCTGCCACAGTGCAGGAGTAATGTGAGGACTGGGACTAGGGTGGTGACAGTGAGAAACGATGGGGACTATAGGGTTAGCCACCAAACTGGATTTAGGCAGAGACGAAGACAGAGGGAAACATGAGTCAAAGATGGCTCCAAGGTTTGGAGTCAGGATGACTGGAGAGAGGCTGATGCAACAGAGCAGACAGAGAGGTTTGGAGGAAGGACAGACATCTGCCTGGGGTGTGTGGGAATTTTCTGAATGTTCCATTCGTGGTTGATATTCTAACCTTGAGGGCTGAGAATAAAAAAGCAAAGAAGTCAGACCGTCTATGGGAAATTTTCTGTAGCTTATATTATTTATTTTTTCCCCTTGAAATATGGAAGTGGGGCCGGCCCCATGGCGTAGCGGTTAAGTGCGCGCGCTCTGCAGCTGGCGGCCCGGGTTCGGATCCCGGGCGCGCACTGATGCACCGCTTGTCAGGCCATGCTGTGGCGGCGTCCCATATAAAGTGGAGAAAGATGGGCATGGATATTAGCCCAGGGCCAGTCTTCCTCAGCAAAAAGAGGAGGATTGGCATGGATGTTAGCTCAGGGCTGATCTTCCTCACACACACACAAAAAAGAAATACGGAAGCAAAAGTCATACTAACTGAGGTTAATTAATGAGTGTGTTTTGCCTTAAAACATAGGAATCTGGAATAAGTTTGTATTAGTTGGAAGAGATGTTTGTCAGTCTGAAGAATATTCTGATGTATTAAATCAGAGACAAGTTTAATGAAGTAAGATGGGAGAGTTAAGCCAACAGTTACCAGATCCCCCTCTGGGTCTTAAATAGGAAATAAATAACCCCAAATAGAAAATAACTGCCCAGGATCAGGCCTGCCCATGATTAACAATAGGCTTGCAAAGCATGGGGAGGGGTCACTCTTTAAAAGATCCAAAAGACCTCTGGCAGTGACCATCTTAACACAGAAATCACTCTTAGCATCACTAATAGCAAGACAACCTGACATTATGTGTCTCCCAACATGATGCAATGTGGAGAACACAGTATCACCTGAGAAATATTCTTGCCAAAAACATGTAACCTTTAGATATTACTTCCGGTTGACAAAAACACAGAGGGCAGAGGAACAAGATGAATGACATCATGAGGAAGCAATTAGATAATTACAGAAGGCGAGACATTCTGCAGATCAACTAGTCCTGGCTTTTCAATAAGTCCATGTCAGATGTCATGTGATTCAAAGCCGGGGGGGGGGCGGGGCGTGGGGGGCTCTCCTAAATTAAAAGAGGCTTTAGAGTCAAAACAACAGCTGTATCATGTGGTCCTTGATTGGCTCCGGAATCAACAGGATCAACTGAGGGAAAACGGAACAAGGGAGGAAATTTGAACATGGACTAGGTAAGAGGGTGATATTGGAGATTATTGTCAATTTTGTTAAGCATGATGACAGTATGTGGTTGTGTAGAAAAACATTTTTTTGAGTTGCATATTGATTAGGACTGAAATATGAAATATTGTAATTTACTTTAAAAGACTTCAACAGTAAACAAAATTTTCAAATTTGATTTGATTAATCAAATAAGGCAGATGTTAACAATTGTTGCATCTGGGTTGTAGGTAAATGGATGTTCATAACATTATACTCTTTACACTTCTATATGTTTAAACATTTTTGTTTAAAAAAAAAAGAAAAGCCTTGGAGCCCACTACAGGTAGGGCTGCAAAGCTGTTCATTCCATCTGCAGGCGACCTAAGACCACCCCTCCTCCCTGGGTCTCCCCAGGCAGGAACTCCTCTGAGTGACCACCAGAGGCTGAAAGCCACATCCCTGCTGAGAGAAGACGTCCCAGGCAGTGAGAGTCTTCCACCCTCAGGCCAGGGCTGGGGGAACTGGAGGGTGGACATTTGTCCCACTTGGAGCTTTTCCTTTTCTCCCACTACACCCAGACATAGAGGCCTCATCTCCATTTTCCAGTGCCTGGAGTATACATGGTATAATACAGAGGCACCAGGGAAGCAGGCCATGAAGAGTAGCAATAGGGTGTATAACCCCAGGGAGGCCAGAAGTCATTCTATAGTGATGACTTGTAGTTTTCATGTGCAGGTCTCAAGGGTGCCAATGAGACAGACAAAAAGGAAAGTCCTTCAGGGCATAGGGAATGGGGGGATTTCCAAGTCTGGAATCAGCTACAGAGGAGAAACGGGAGAAAGGATCACTGCGTTACCGAGGGGTAGAGAGACGAGACAGAGATCCAGGACAAGCCAACAGCTGGGATAGGGAGATAGCAGGGGCCTGGGAAGAAGTGGGAGGTTCAGAAGGACATATCCTCCCTGAAGCTAAGGGAAGACTTTAAGGAAGGAAGAGTGGTCTGGGGCATCTGCTTGGCAGTAAGGTTAAGCAAAGGAGGCCTAAAAGGAGGCCACTGGTGTTGGTGGGTCTCAGAGGCCTCTCAGGCAGTGGCAGAAGAGAAGAGAGAGTTAGGGTTAGGTGACAGGTGTAAATAAGGAGGAATCAGGCAGCAGAAGGACCAACCCACTCCATGAAGCCAAAGGAGGTAAGAGAGGTTGGTGGCTGGAGGGGCCACCTGGCAGGACAGGCATGAGAGAGTATGAGAGAGGGTTCCAGAATCCTTTGTGTTTGAGGCCAAAGATGGCTCCTACCACATGATGCAACACATCCACAGAGCTCAGCAAGCGGAATTCAACAACTCGTTGAATGGACGAGTTTGTGTAAAGGTCAAGGAGGACCCGAGGGGCACAGTGTAGTGGTCGAAAGCAAGGGCTTTAGAGACGGTAGGAGTTGGCCCTGGATCCTGCCTCTGCCACTTGCTATCTGTGCAGCCTTCTCTGTGCCTATTCCTCATCTGTTCAGTGGGGCTAACAACAGGATGGACTTCAAAGGCTGGTCAATAAACAGGAACTGATTAATGGTGGGGCCAGGGGGAGCATTGGGCCATTGAGAGCCTGTGGTTGGGGGATGGAGAAGGATACCTGAGCTTTCTCGGCCTAGGAACGCCTGAGCAAAAATCTCGCCGACCCAGGCCTGCAGCTCCGAATCCTGCTGCACTGACACATCACTGGGATAATAGTAGCCCACGATTTCTGAGACAAAGCTGCAGAAAAGAGAGGCACCATGCCACGGCAGTGACCTTGGGCTCAGGCCTGGCCAGAAAACCAAGGTCCATTGCCGCTCAGGCTGGGGAGAGCCACCTGGCCAGAGTCCACTGGGAGTCCACAGGGGTTCAGCGGGGACCCCCACATCCAGCTGGAACCCGAGTGCCCAGGCTTCCCTCAAGTCTCCCCTCACTCCTGAGTTATGGGTGCTCTGGGCCTCCTCTCAGCCCAGGAGGCTAGGGGGAGAGTGTGCTCAGGGGAGCCTGACTCACACTGTAGCCAACCACCACCCACCCCAACTCAGCACGAAGGAGAAAGGAAGACTCGCCTGTCTGGAGGCCCCAGCCCACATTAGCTGTTGCACCTGCCCTGACTCCCCTGGACACCCCATCCTTCCCTTCCTTCATTGCCTTTATACACAGCCCAGCCCCTCTTCAGCCCACAGCTACCTGCCATTTCAGAGGGGACCCCAACCCCAACTCTCACCCTTGGGGGGCCCCATGTTGGGGCCTGAGAATACCGGAAATCCCCAGCACTAAGCACCTCAGCCTTCATGAGCACAGGGGCCCACACTGCCCCTGGGCCAGGAGGCCCTGGTAGGGCCAGATTGGCTGCAGGGTCCCAATCCCACACCTCTCAATGGCGGCCCAGATCTTCAGGCCGTCGTCTCGGTAATGGTAGTTGGGGATGGCCAAGACGCCGCGGGCCCGCAGGCTGTCCGGAAGGCAGAAATTGGTGTAGGTGAAGTGGGCCAGACCAGTGCTCATGAGGTAGAGGAGACCTTGCCTCCCGATGGACGTGACCTAAGGACACAGCACAGCTGGCTTCCTGGCAGGCCGAACCCCCACCGCAGTGCCCAGGGATGAGATAGGGCTAGTGACTCAGCAGAGAGGATTTTTCAGTTAATCAATCAGTCCAAGACCACAGATCAAAGACCCATAGGGGCCTGCGCATAGGACGTAATCCTCAGGTATTTGGTAACTAGAAGAATGAACTAAATGCCGGGGAAGCAGGCAAGCGAGAGCCAGCGCAGGGTCAGCCGGGCGCTGTGCTCAGGCTGGGGGTGCCCTGCCCACCTCAAGGAACGTCTGGACCCAGGGCCTGAGGGCGTGGGGCGGGCGGGTGGGATTGGCAGGAGAGGGACAGGGTTTATGGGCGGGGCACGTAGGAGACTGACGCGGAGGGGCGGGGCTTGCGGGAAGAGGCCGGCAGGGACTGTGGAATGGGATTGGAGGCCGAACAGGGCTTGTAGGCGGGGCAAAACGTCCTCGGGGGCGGGGCTTCAGGGCCGGGGAGGGCAGGGAGCTGGGAGGCCGCACCTTGTCCACAAGGCCCTCAGGGTTGAGCAGCGTGGCCCTTGCGATGGTGTTCACCTGCAGCGTGTAGCGAGTGTGGGGAAGCAGGAGCTGCGAGCGGGATGACGTCACAGGAGCCGAAGGTCAGGGGAGAAGGCCGCCCTGGCCCCGCCCCCTCTGGCCCAGCCCGGGGGGTCTCACACACCTTGTAGATGGGATGGCAGAGAGGCAGCTGACGCAGCGTGGCCATGGCGAAGGCCTCGCACAGCAAGTGCGTGCACAGAAAGTGCGTGTTGTTCTCGTGCACCAGGAACTCGGAGTTGCGCACCCACGTCTTGGCCAGCACCCAGTCCCAGTCGGAGTCAGTGGGCAAAAAGATGGGGCTGTCGGGCCCGGGAGTCTGGCTGAGCTGCGTCCAAGAATAATAAGGGGTTGAGGCTCAAGACTGCTATTGTGCCCCTTGAGACCCCGACCCCGAAGCTCCGCCCCACGCTCACCTGGATGGCCAAGGGCACCAGCGCCCCTTGGGAGTTGAGCCACAATAGACAGAGCGGGGCGGCCACGTACTGAGGGCGGCCATTTAGGTAGTGGACGGGGACCTCCGCCAGGATCCAGTAGTCGGCTAGGAAGATGTTCCCCCTCTGGGAAAGGCGCACAGAGGCTTAGAGTGACCTCCCCATCCGCGATCGGCTTGCCCCTCCGTTCTCTGCCCACTTCCACTCCAGCCTGGGCCTCAGTAATGCTTGGTGCCTGCACTAATGGCCAGTGTTGGGTACCCCACCCTTCCGAGAACGTCTGGAATGAGATCTAGCTGAGTTCCTCAGTGTGCAACATCTCGCCTGGCTTCCCAGCTGGGACAAGCCGGCGTCCTCTCCTCCTCCCTCCACACCTGGTCTTTCCTACTCTCTCAACTCAGTCGACCTCAGTGCATCCAACAACAGCAAAATTGACACACAATGAGAATTCACCAACCACATCTCCAGCCTTCTGGAGGATGCCTGAGGGTTTGGCTGCCCTAGAGAGAGTGGATCATCATCTTCTCCCACACCCTGAGAGCTCCTAGTTCTCTTTCGATGATTGTTCCTGCTGTATCTAGTGGCACTGCCTTTGGCCTGTCTTAAAACAGCCTTCTCCGGGCCTCAGCCACCCGGGATCTTGGAGGCCCTTCTCCTCCAAGCTGTCCTGCAGCTGCTCTGCTCATTCATACCATTTCACCAGGCGCCATCTCAAACCATCCTGATCACCATTTGGCCCTCTTCCACATCTGCTCTACTTAAAAGGTGCAGGGTCATGGCTACCCACAGAGTGAGGCCAGCATGCTGGATGCAGCCCCAGCCATCCCACCCCCACCCTCCACACCCTTCCCTTGTCTATAATGGCAACTCACCCACCTCTAGCTCTGTCTGCAGGCAGGTGCCTGGTCCCAGCAAAGGGGCCACCATGTCATTGGTGACAGGCAGCTTTCTGGGCAAGCTGGAGAGGCAATGGAGCATGACAGGATTGACACCATTCAGGTACTGGTACCCGAAGAAGTGGTCTTCATGCCAGTGCTCTGTGACGTACTCTAGGGGGCAAGAGAGGGGGGCCAGTTGATCTGGAAACTACTTCCCTAGATCATGCTCCTGCCCAGCCCTGTGGTCATACTATGGTTTAGGTTTTCCTCCCAGCCACTCTGTGAGGTAGGTATAGTTATATCTTCAATTTAACGCTGGACACTGAGAGTCAAAGAGATGGAGTGACTTGCTCAGTTGAGTGGCAGAACAGGGATCTGAACCTAAGTCTGGCCCCAAAGCCCAGAACTCTTGGTGATGAGGGTAGGAGAAGAAAGGCATCTCTGCATCTGATCAGGATCAGGACTCCCAAAACGACCCTGACTCTCTAGGCAAGCAGTGTCTCTCTGTCATCACTCCCCTATTCTTGACCCCTCCCAGAAGGAGAGATGCCCGGGTTCCTGAGGGGAATCTGTGAGATTGCCACCAGTGAAACCAGGAGCCCTACACTGTAATCCAGCAGTCTCCCTGAGAGGGCTGGAAGAGGGCCCTTTCCCAGGATGGGGCGGAGAGGTCTGAGCAAGGGGTAGGGTGGAGGAAGGACACCTCCTGCCTGGCTCTGCACACCTGAAGTGAAGGTCTTGTGGCACCAGAAGATATTCCGAATGTCATCCAGCTTCTTCCAGGAGCCCTTGCGGTCCAGCAGCCCTCGAAGCTTCATCCCCAAGGACCTGAGGGGGAGGGGAAGTGAGGGTGGGGCCTGGGAGCTGGGGGCTGCCAGGGGCACTGTGCCCCTCACCTAGAGGCCTGGAGGGACCTGACAAGGTCAATGCCCAAAGCAGAGGTGCCTAACAACCCACATGGGAGAAAAGTCTAGTGGCTGGTTGAGGCTTTGTAGGGGTGACTCCACATGTGTGTGCAAAGGTGGTGCACGCGGCCATGTGGTGCAGACAAGTCATCCTCATGGGTGTTGGGGCCTGCTTTCTCCAAGCTTCCATCTTGTCATAGACCTTCACTGGGTCCCCTCTGCCTACAGGACAAAGCCCCAACTGCTCAGGCTGGCTAGGAAACCACCCACCAGCTGATTCCTACCAACCTTTCCAGCTTTTTCTCCCACCCTGTGCACTAGACAAGGCCAACCAATGGCCTTCTCAATAAATGTAACCAGAGATGCACTTTGTACACTGGACTGGTAAAAGTGCGGTTGGCATCTAAGGGCTGTGCACTTTTCACTTTGTGGATATCTATACTGTGTGAATTTTTTATAATGAGCACGTGTTATTTTATAATCAGAAGTGAAGTCTGCTTTCTCCCCTCTCCAGGGCTTTGTTCAAGCTGTGCCTCTTCTAGAAAGCCACCCCCTCATCTCCACCTAGTATCAAACCCATCTGTTCTTCCGTGTGCTTCTTAGATGCAAAGTCCTTCAGGAAGTGTGGCCTGATCACCCCTCCAAACATGCGCCTTGTGTGTATCTTTCACAAAACACTCATCTCTCCCTTCATTACATTTAAGCCCAGTGTACTCATATCATCTCCCATTATACTATGGGCTCCTTAGGGCCAAGACTGGGCTCTGTATGCCCCGACATACCCAGTTCATAATAATCACTCACTAACTGGGCCAAATCAAATGGAAGGGAATGGAACATAGAATAGGCAGGTTTGTGGCAACTGGTCAATGAGGTGTGCTGTGAAAGGGCGCTGATGTGCCATGAAGAGTGTGGGCACCTGGAGGAGCCCGGGGGGCACGGGGGCATTGGCAACCTGACAAACCCCCCTGGGACTTCCTGTACGCTCACTGAGCTGCTCACTCCTCGTTCCACAAGCATTTGCTGAGTGCCTGCCGACTCAGGACCCAGGGGGTGGGAAAAACCAGGTGGGAGCTTAGTCTTTAAAGCAGGGGCTGAGGAGGCAATAAGGAGAAAGAGAAGGCCTTGCAAACGTCCTTCAGATCACCCAGCAGTTGCTCCTCCCTAAAGCACAACTACCACCCCCTCCTCTCCATAAATGCCTGGACAGCTGCCAAATGCCAGCTCCTCTTCCCGCTGGCCCTTCTCTGAGCCCTGCACCAGCTTTCCTGCTGGTCTCCCAGGCCCTCCCTCACCTAGACCCACATATCCATCCGGAAACCAACTCAGGTGACTCTACTTCCGAGATGTTCCTCTGGTCCCTCAGCCCTGCCAGGGCCTCTCAGGGGGTCTTTGTCCTGAAGCATGAGCCACCTGTGGCTGCCTGTCCACTCCAATATACCACAGACACTTCCGCGCTCCCCGCCCCAACCCACCTCTCACCCCCTCCCACTAGTTCTTCTCCAGAAGAATCATTCTGGCACGGAAGCCCAGAAGACGAGGATCCAGGTCCTTGCCCCAGGCTCCTCTGGGCCTCCTAATGCAGCCACTACAAAGATGGCTGAGCCTTGCATTCCTCCCACCAACTGACCTGGGTTTGTCCAGGACCCACCTACTCTCCCCTCATCTCTCCTTCTCTCTCCCACCCAAAGCCTGCTTCAGTGCCACCTATCTCCCCAGGAGCAATCTCCTGGCCCCTGCTGACCCCTGCCTCCTCAAGGCACCAGAGTGTCGACTGTGCCCCCTCCAGCCATGTCACAAGCAGAGCCCCAGCTGTTGACTTGAGCTGCTAATGACCCCTCTGATGGTAATTAATTGCGAGACGTGTCTTCCTAGTGATACTGTGAGTTCTTACAGCCAAGACTATATCCTATACTACTGCTCAGTAACATCTATGGAGAGATTATTTTGTGCTGGATGTTACCTCATTAAATTCTCCTCCAAACCCATGAGGTAGGTACGAACATTATTGTCATTTTACAGATGAGGAAACTGTTTAGAGGCTAAGTGAAAATCAAGGTCGCACAGCTAGAAAGTATTGGTTCTGGGATTTGAACTTGAGGTGGTCTGACCATCTCCTTAAAGCTTAAGGTCCCACCAACAGTGTCTGGGACCATGCTCTGCACAGAGTAGGTATTCAATTAATTGTATTGGTTTGAGGAATGGAAAGAGCAAGGATGACTAAGGAGCAAAGAGGAGGCGATGGGGAGATAGAGAAAGGAGTTGCCTAAGGAGAGAGAAGAGCCTGAGGGGAAGAGAGAGGGGAGACTGAGGCAGAGAGGGGAAACTAGGGGCAGAGAGAGGGGAGACCAGGGGTCAGACAGAGGGGAGACCGGGGGTCAGAGACAGGGGAGAATGGTGGGCAGAGGTGTGGCTGTGCATCAAAGGGCAGAGGCAGAAGGTAGAGTGAGCAGGAGGGCAGAGAGGGCAGTGGCCTCACGCAGGGATGGCATTGAAGAGCAGCGAGGTCGTCTTGGTGGCTGAGTAGCGAATATTGGGGTCCATGTACAGCAGGGATGGGATGTCAATTTTCATGGGGAAGCCAGGCAGGTACCGATTCCCACTGCTGGGGAGCAGGGAGAGCAGAAGGACGGAAACCAGTCAGAGGGACCTGCAGCCCACTCCCCTTAATTCTTTCCCTCTCTCCTCCCCCAGAGTCCCCAGGCCTCCCCTCACTCCAGGCTCCTCCCCTGCCCTCTCTCCTGCCTGAAGCCACCTCCTCCTCTCTGTCAGACCCCTGGGGCCGTCCCTGCCCATTCAGCTCTAACACTTGAATTAATCTGCACTTGTCATAGACCCCCGACTTCCAGGCTGCCCAGGCCCCATCCTCACAACAGACCCTTCACTTCACACCCTTCTACCTTCTTCCCAAGCCTGCGTCCTTCCTACCTGTCACCCTGGTCTGCACAAGGTGTCATCTTGGTCAAGGCAAATTTCTTGTTTGACTCCATCTCCTCAAAGCTGCTGACGTCCACAATGCCGGGGAAGCCAGGGGCGTAGACTTTCCAGCTTCCAGGGGGAAAGAGGTCAGAGTTGGCAAGGGAAGATTAGGGTAAACAGAAGCCTTCACTTTTAAAGATATGGCTTTAAATTAAAACTCCCAGAAGCCACCCACTTTCTAGGTAGGTGACAAAGAATTGGAATTTTCCCCCTGAAGGCACTGAGCTTCGGATCAGGGTGGGATTTGAGGATAACATGAATGTGTAGGCTTGTTTAGAGTTGGGTTCATGTTGAGATTAAGATCGTGGCTGGTTTGGGGGTGAGGCTGAGGACAGGCTAAGGTTGGTCAATACTAGGGTCATGTCTGATATCTGGGTCACATCAAGGGCAGCTGGGGGTTGAGTGTGGATTCATTGATGGTATTGGGACAACTGTCAGTAGTGGTGTTCTGGGTGTGAACTCAGGGTCAATATTAGATTGAGGTTAGGTTTAAATGAGGCCCGTAATAGGAGTTGGGCCCCCAACGTTGGAATTGAGGTCAGAGTTAGTAACAGTCTGATTAAGGATGAGGTCAGAATAAAGATGGGGAAAGAAGTCAAATTAGGCCACCCTCACCGGTAGCATTCCTGTCGGGCCTGGAGTTCCCGTTTCCTGTGATCCAGAAGGAGGGGAAGGGAGTCCTGACAAATAGTTCTTGCTGTAGGGAATGAAAATTAGTCATCATATAAGACTTTTTGAACAACATCTCCTCCAGCAAACCTTGCCTGAACTCCCTAGCTCTTGCACCCAATCCCTCAGCGATATGGATGTCCCATGTTCTTCATGTATTCATCAGTAGAAGAGATTCAGATTCACCCCAAAATTATAGCAATCTTTCTAATTGCACGTTTGTCTCTTTTCCAAGACTATAAACTCCTTGTGGGCAGAAGTCGCATTGTATTCATTTTCTGTATTCCCAGCATCTAGCATGGTGCCTAGCATTGTGCACATAACATGCACTCGACAAATGGCTGATGAACAAATATACTTTGTGAAGTGAGGGATGGGTGTTCTGTGATGATAGATGGGTGTTCGGAGTGAAGTCTATGAAGGACTCACTGTGGGCTGAAGGATAATGTTCACTCGCCTCATCTTGGCCTAGAACATCATCTCTCATCCCTAAGACTCATCTCAACAGTTGGACCAGCCCTAGTCTTGCCTCTCCAGATTAGACAGTCCAGGAGATATGGGGGTCCAGAGGCTGAAGGAACTGGAGTCCAGCATCCTTGAAAGGCCCCCCAAATTCAAGAAGGAATTTGAACAGCACCTCACAGGGACTTTGTCCACACCAGAAAAGCCAGTAGTAGTGGCCAGGGCCTCTCCAGCTAAATTCCCTAAACATTCAGGGCTTCTCCACCTGTTGAGATCCAATTACTCAGCTTGAAGGTTAATTCCTCTCTAGGTTCCAGAGGAATTCACTCTGGGGAAGTGCAGAGGGAGTCAGGGGTAAGCAAACTGCCGTCTGTGCGTGTTTGTGTCTATGAGTGGTATGAGTGTATGTGAGCATGTCTCTGGTCTCTGTGTGTCTCCAGAGGGGCAAATACTGCCCAGAAAGCCCCTGCATTTCAGGGCTTTGGAGGCTTACTTTTTCCAGAAAGCATCTACTTGGGAGCCCTGAGTTACCCCAATCCCAACCCTATTCCCTACACCTAATCCCAACAGATGCCTTCTGCAGCACAAGCCAGTCCCTGCCTCTGACCCACCTGTTCCTGGTCGCAGCTCTATGGTGCAGAAGCCCTCAATCCACTGATAGCAGGGGAAGTGGGACAGGGTACCATCAGGGGCGGTGACACAGATGCAGCTGCAGTACCAGGAGTCCTTGCGGAAGAAAGCATAGCGCTCCTTGTGTAGACGCAGCAGCAAGAGCTCACCCAGCTCTGCTGAGCAGCGCACCTTGTACTTCTGCACCTAAGGGGACCAAGAGAACAAGCAGGTGAGAGGCAAGGAACTGCCAGGGCCGTCCTTGCACCTTGCAAGGTGCATCTACACCTACACCTATTCTAGCATATAAACCTGAGCTGCTGCTAACCCATGCGATGCTTTTGTATGAATTAGAAAAAGGCGCCCCTTCATCCTGGTAGAAGCAGCCACGGGTACCACAGGCACCATGTGTGAGCAGAGTGGGTTCTGGATTTCACTAGCCTCCTTGGCAGCCGGCACCCTTGTGTAGGCCACCAGCAAACAATCCTGGGGGCTGGCAGAGGCAGGCAGATCCCCTCCAGAGAAGAGGAAACCCAGGCTCAGAGCAGGAAAGCAACTTGCCCAAAGTCCACCTTCAGTTATTGGAGCAGGAACTAGGAAGCCAGCAGAATTCTCCTGATGCCCTACCCAGGGCTCTTTCTTTACATCCCTTCGTGAGTAAGGTGTATCATCCATTGGAAAGACAGGGACGGGAACAGAGATGGTGAAGAGGTCAGAGCTGGCATCCGGGATTCTGCAGGACTTGATGAGCTCAGGAGGAAAGGCCCTCCCCTCTTCAGGGTCTCCCACCGGCCCTGCCCCTCAGGGCTCGCTCTTCCCTCTCTCCTCTGTACTCACCGATCCAGGGGCGAAGTCCCTGCCCACCCGATCCAGCAGCTGCTTGGGGCTCTCACCACACATGCCCACCAGTGTAACGGAGATGTTGTCCAGTGTGCCGGCCATCAGGTAGGGGCCAGTGGTCACACACACGCGGTATACGGCCATTGTGGGTGGGAAGGAGGGCTGCCCCCAGCAATGTTGGCTACAGCAGCAGCCGGCCTGGAAGAGGCGAGCAGCAGGCAGGGCAGGGCTAAGCTGCTGCGCTGCCGAGCCGCTGAGCGAGGGGCTGGGGGACAGGGTCGGCCTCTGGAGACAGGCCCAGCTCTCTCTGGGTTGCTCTTGGGCTCACTCTCTCTCAAAGCTCCAGCCTCTGTCCGTGCTCACTTCGGGCTTCCTCTTCCCGCCCACAGTCTTGCGCGGTAATAGTTGTTTGCTTGTCTCTGGCACAGCCGGTCCCTCTGGCTTACAGGACAGGGCTCACCCAGATGGCTATCAGGAGCCCAGGTCCCATTGGTAAGGGAGGGACCAGATGCTGAGCTGGAGACAGGGAGTAGGTGACGCCTGTATGATTGGGACACTGCCCTCCTCCTGGTCAGGGGCTGACTGATGCCCTGGAGCCCTTGTCTGCCCACTCTCCGACTTTCCCCAAGACCCCTTCTCCTCTCTCTCAGCCAGAACTGGGCACAGGGCACCCGCGTTCCCACTTGTGAATCATCCATGTGAATCAGTATACACAAGTGAGCCACACTCGGCCATAAATCACACGTGACTACAGCCACACGCAAGTGAGTCGCACACGCATCCTTGCACACTGCATAGGCGTCAGAGACAACTCTCCTATCACCCCCACACTCTGCAGCACCATCACCACGCCCAGCCCTCGGTGTCCCCGGTCTTCGGTACGCCCGATCTCAGTCTCTCCCCTGGAACAGGGCCGGTCGGAGGACCGAAGTGGACTCCGGGCGCACAATGTCTGAAGGCCACATGTGGCATTCTTTCCGCTCGGGGCCCGCCTGTGGCCTTTGGGGCGGTGGGCGGGAGAGGAGGCGCCGCGGTGTCTGGGATTTAGGTCATCCGGAATGGGGAGAAACCTCGCCACGAGGGAAGCCCGCAGTTGGCAGCGGCCCCGGGCGGCCAGTCCCAGCACCGCACGGTCCCAGCCTTCGCGGCGCTCTAGCCCCAGCGTCCGAGCATCGGCAGGAGCCGTACACGAGAGCGGCGGAGAAAGCACGATCAGCAGCTCCCGGGCTTCACCGGCTTCCTCCTAGTCTGTGCCGGGGTCCTCTGCGCACATGTGCACAATTCACACTCAGTCCCTCGAGCCCGGACATTCTTAAGTGCAAAACTCTTATAAGCTATAGAGGAAAGACACTGTAAGAGCCCGGATAGCTCAGTCGGTAGAGCATCAGACTTTTAATCTGAGGGTCCAGGGTTCAAGTCCCTGTTCGGGCGTCTCGCTTCCTTTTCCACCTCTACACGACTGTTTGTAATTATCTGTATTCCTTCGGACAAAACAAAGGAAAAGAGTAAAAACTGTTACTTGGTTTTAAAAGGAAGTGGTGTTAAGTTCGTCATGGTTTTAGCTTTCAGAAGGTAGAACGAATGACAGTGGAAGGAAAGTAGACGTTTTAGAGCAGTAAGTAATGCCAGCCATGCATGGAATTTAAATTTTCTAGTAGCCCTATTAAAAAGAGTAAAAAGAAACAGGCGAAATTAATTTCAGTAACATATTTTATTTAACCCAATATATCCGAAATCTTATCATTTTAACATGTAATCAATATTTTTAAATTATTAATGATATTTTCACAATTTTTTATCGAACTAAGTCTTCTACGAACGGTGTGTATTTGATACTTACAGAACATCTCAATTCATGTTTTAGGTGCTGAATAGCGGTGTCCACCTTATCTGACAGTTTTTGTTTGGTTTTGTTCCTGAATGGCAGAGGGAAGATTCGCGTAATAGTAACTTTAGTAATATCCCTACTCGAAAAGGAGCGTTAGATCAGGTGGGTTCCATGGTGTAATGGTTAGCACTCTGGACTCTGAATCCAGCGATCCGAGTTCAAATCTCGGTGGAACCTTCTGCTTTGTTTTCACTCAGAATCATTTACTATTAGTTTCGTATATGAGATTCTCTTATGATCCGAGAGGATCTGGAAAGAAAAACTAAATTGCTGTTCCTTGAGCTTTTCAGACTGGGTCACTGGAGCTTCTAGCACACTATCAGGAGAACACAGAGTAAGTCACTTAAATATATACCAAGTTGCGCTAATTTTGAGAGAGAAGAATGTTATTTGAGGACGTGTTACAGTGGAGATCAGTTAAGAAGTGAAGGTTATTTTGGCAGTTTCCACGAGGTCTTGGTCCGGGGCTGTAATGCATACCTAGGCTCTGTCTCGAAACAGGACAAGGAAGACGGTGGTGAGCCCGCTACCAGGAGTCCTAATAAAATTAACGAATATTCCAGAAGGGGCTTTATGAATTACAGCACGCGTAAACCACGAGGAAAAACTCTGGTTTGGCAGCGGTGGGATTCGAACCCACGCCTCCGAAGAGACTGGAGCCTAAATCCAGCGCCTTAGACCGCTCGGCCACGCTACCTGCGCGGAAAACTGGCATCCCCATAGTCCTCCTAAGAGACTAGAGGGGAGAAGTAAGCTACCGATGGTCTTGCTACATTTGCTGGTCTTCCTTGGGAACCATCGAGACTCCGGACCGCGAAGCAGCGGATGGCAAAGCCGATAGACCAGAGGAAACAGAGACACACAGAAATTTACAAGAAAACAAGTTTATTTTGATGAGTGGGGCCACATGGGAGTGAGGTGCGCCTGGGCTGGAAACATCCCCCAAGCAGGCTGCCAGAGCTCTACTCGCTGGCTCGCTCGTATTGCATTGCTCTCTCTCCGTTTCTTCCACCCATGCACGCCCACACTCCCACCTGGCTCACGTGCTTTGCGCAGGCTACTTCTCCCTGACGGGCCTCTGATGCCGGAACCACGCGCTCCTGGCACGCCCCGCCCAAATCCCTTACCCCTTCCCCTCCCCCCTCCCCTTTCCCATACTAGTACCCGTAAGCTGTCAGACGGTGCCGCCCGCCAGGTGGCTCTGTGGCGCAATGGATAGCGCATTGGACTTCTAGTGACGAACGAGCGATTCAAAGGTTGTGGGTTCGAATCCCACCAGAGTCGATTTTATTTCCAACTTTTTTTTTTCTCCTTTTTGTCTGCATTCTGCTTTTACTTAAAGGCTCCCATCCCTTCTTCCCTTACCCTATCTCAGTGTTTCCACCTGGTTTCAGTTCCAACCTGTCTCCTCTCTGCTCTCTTCTTTACTTACCTGTCTGCCCCGGGCCTTGGGCCATGGAGAGCAGGACTGAGGGGCGGGAGACAGAGGGGAGAGAAAATGGGCGTGGACGCCGAGATAAAGGCAGGCCCCTGGCTCGGGGACACAAGGGGATTTAATAACCACTTTATTCCATGCACTAGGGACGCGGGAAGGAACTGGGGCTGGGCTGCGGGCAGAGAGGGTACAATCCTAGACGCAAAGGGGGTAGGGAAAAGGGACAGGAACCAGGGAAATATATATTTATATAGATACTCTAATATAGACCACATCTCACCCGCGCGCTGCGCCCGCGCGCCCCGCCGCCCCCCCCCAACACCTCCTCGCCCGGACGCCCGGGTCCCTCTGCTGCCCTCGGGCTGGAGTCTCTACCCCACCCCCAGCCCCCACCCCCCAAAGCTCAGGGCCAAGGTCTCCAGAAAGCGGGTGGCGGGGGCGGCGGGGCCTTGGGCGCCCCGTCTTGTCTGTGAGGCGGCGGTGGCGGCGGCAGCAGTCCGGTGAGGGGCGCCGGCGCGCCGGAATCCCTGGCGCGGGGGGAGCAGGGGGACGGGGACCATGCGCAGCGCGGGCTAGGGGGGCCCTGGTGCAGTGGGGGGCACTGGTGCAGCGCGGGGCCAGGCGCCGGGGCGGCGGGGTCCAGCGGTGGGCGCGGCGCTTGGGGCCTCGGATCTACCGGTTCCGGCCGGGGCGGCTTGGGGCGCAGGTAGCCATGCAGCGCGGAGAAGAGCTGGGCGCGGGCGGCCGGGCTGGCGTCGTGCGCGAAGGCCGCCAGGCGAAGCAGGCACTCGCGGAAGCCGGACAAGTAGCAGCTGGCGAGCGCCTCGGCGTCCTGGGCTGGGGACCGGGGAACCCCTGGAGCCGCGGCGGCGGGTGCAGCCGGCGGGAGCATGGGCGGGCAGGGCAGGGGCCCAACAGGGGTGTGGGAAGGGGCGGGGCGCAGAGATACCAAGGCCGGACAGGCGCACAGACAGAGACAGGAAACCAGATGGACCGACAGAGGGAGAAAATGAGGGAGACAGAGACAGACACGCGCGGGCGTTATTAACCTCGCCTCGGAGAAGAGCCTGCCACCCCCCAAGCCCACCGTCCACCGCAGGGCCCACCCCATCTACCCCGGCCCGGACCTCGGTGAATCCCCCCTCCCTCCCTCCGCTGCCCCACCCCCGCGCTGTACCCGGGGGCTCCACCCGGCTTCGCTCCCTCAAGTAGCCCACGGCGAATTCCAATATCTCTGCTTTCTCCAGCTTCGGGTTCCGGAGGTTCTACAGAAGGGAGGGGAGGGAGCAGAGACAGAAAGGGGTGGGGAGAGAGGGGGAAAGTGGCAGGGGGAAGAAGGGAGGGGGGTGCGGGAGCTGGGGGTGCCCCCGGATCGCGTTTGTGCGCTGCCCACAGAGCGCGCGACGGGATGCGGAGTGGAGATGACCAAGAATGGTCCTGGCCCACCCTGAGACGAAACTGTCCAACCCAAGGGGATGAAACCAACCCACAGTGTGAGGAGGGGATTTGAAACAGCAAACCCAGGCAGTGAAATTAACCACCCTGCTGGCTGTTCTGGAGGGTGTAGGGTGACAGAGAATTTACAGACCCAAAGGTTGAGACTGACCTACCCCGGGAGTGAAATTTACAGAGCCGGGTGTGAAACTTACAGACCCGAGGGGTGGCGTTGAAGAATGCGTTCTGAGAGCGAGAGGGGTCTGGGATGGGATTCCAAGGGCGGGACTCGGGTCAGGCTGCCTGGGGGCCAGGGTTGCCAATGCAGCATATGTCCCCACCCCAGTAGGAAGCCCTGGGACGCGAGGACAGGGTGCTTGGAGGGCCAGGGCTGGCGGTAGGACTGACCTGGTCCCGGGTCCGCTCCAGCAGCAGCAGCCTCAGCTCTTCCAGGCTGCGGTTTATGCGGTCCCGGCGCCGCTTCTCCACAAGCGGCTTCAGCATCTGCGACCAGCAGGAAAGGGAGAGCGGGCCGACCCGACCGAGACTCAGCGCGGCCGCGCCGGCGTCCGGATCCCGCCGTTGGGATAGTCCCGCCTCCATCCCTTCCCCAAGACCCCGGAGAGCCTAGGGCCGGGCCCATTCGATCCCTCTCCGCTCCCCCCTCCCCATCGCCCCTAAGATCAATTTCTGTAGCTCGCCTCCTGTCTCTCTCGGGTCTTCTGCATTCTCCTCTCTCAGTCTTGTCCTCCCTCCTCCCCTCTCTGTGTCTCTCCTTCTCCTCCTCCTCTTTTCTCTCTATGTCTCCGTCTCGTGCCGTCTTTCTCTGTCTCAGTGGAGAACTTTGGGGGCCCACTATGCGCCCAGACACGTGGGCCGCACAGTGCCGGGCTCAGAGTTGGCGGCCCTGAGTGTAGAAAGGGAGATACCCAGCGCGACCGCGCCTCCTCTTCTCCCTCTAACCCGTCTATGCGGTCACCCTTCTCCACTGGTTCTAAAATCTTCCACCCGGTCTCGGGCTTCTGGAACCAAGGTCCTCCGGGCCTTTCTCTATACGGCTCCATTGGGCCACCCAGGCTCACAGACCGCGTGGAGCAAATGCCTACGCTCTCGGCTTTTTGTTTCCACCCTCCTCCCTTAGCTCTGTGCTCCTCTTGCCTCTTTTACTCAAACTCCGGCCCCCTCCCACGCCCTCCAGGCCGCAAGGTGCCAACTGCCATTACCCAAACCCCAGACCTCTGCCACTGCCCCACATGCAGGTCCTGCTCTGACCCTGTCCCCTTCATGCTTTGCAGCTTCCTCCCCAGCTCCTGGCTCCTTGGGTCCCCCGGGCACCTCTCCCCCTTCCAGCCCTGCGTCTCCATCCTCTTCCCTGACTCACGGTCTCAGGGACGCTGTCCCCTGACTGGACCAGGGACCTCTGCTCCCACTCCTCCCGCCTCTCACCTTGGGGCCGTCCCTATTCTCGGCTCGATCCCGGGTGACCATCGCTCCTCGGGACCCTGGTGTAGACCGAGTCCCGGCTCGCCTTGCGCCTTATATCCCGCAGGCTCCGGGGTAGGGGGCGTAGGACCCGGCCCCGCCCCCTTCAGCACCCGGATCCCTCCCGGCGCGGTCTGGGGCACGAGGCTCCCGGAAAGGGGAGGAGTGCAAGGGGGAGGGGAAGGAGTGGAATTGGCCTGGGAGTGTGGGAAATGAGGGGCCAATGCAGCACCGGCTGGTTTAAGGACCATAAAGCTGTATAATGAGTCGGGACCCAGCTGAAGGGAGGAGGTTATTAGGGAGAGAGGAAGTTTGAGTGATTTGGGGACAGATCTCAGGAGTGAAGTTCAGAGTTCCCCCAGAATCGCAGCTTTCTTGGGAGCTCACTGTACCCCCACTAACCCTGAAATAAAAGTTAGCACCTCTCAGCCCCCAGACTGGATCTTAGCCATCTTCCCCCAGAGTTCACCGCCTACTTGGGATAGGGAGGGACCTAAGTGTGCTGGGTGGATCTGTCTAATTCAACTGGGGCTCTGTCGGGAGGTAAGAGGAGCTCTGTTCTCTCTAAGTCGGTCATATTCAATTCCCCCAACATCTGCGCGCTCATCGTGTGCACTGGGCACTGGTCTAGGCTTGGATCGTTCATACTGAGACACACACTAGAGGCCCAGTTTATCTCTGCAGGATCTAGTGAAAAAGACAACGTGTGATCAAGTAGCTATTATAGAAGCAAAGTGAAGTAGGTGCTCCAGATAACTGGACTGCGGCGGGGGAGCCTCAAGGAAGAGGAAGCAAAGCTTTGAAGCACGAGTAGAAGGTGGAGAGATCTTTTCACTTAGAAGTATTTGATTCAAAACTAGTTATAGGAGATTCAGGTGTATGGCGGCCAGAACACCTGACACAAGAGTGCTGGCGTTTCTTGCTCCTGGGGACCCCTCGTGACTGTAGGGGAGCAGGAAGCAGGCAGTTTTCCTAAAGGGACAAGAAAGGGATACAAAAAAGGATCAACACCCACCTCAAACCAAGAGCATGACCCTCTGCAGAGCGATGCGTGAACACTCGGAGACTTCAGGACAAAGTGCCTAAGATAAAATCAGAGATTTAACGGTACAGCAAGAATGCCAGGGGAAAAGATACGGAAAGACAGGGTTGCAGACCCGAGTCGGAAGATAGCTGTGGAGTCAGAGACGGGTGGAGCTCCTCCGAGCCCCACCCCACCCCCACCAAGTGTCCCTCCACACCTTGGTGTTTTTCACGGAGCCTGCCTTGCCAAAGCCCAAGCTCGGAGGGACACAGACCTTGTGGGGGACGCTCCCATTTGGGATCAGGACCCCCGGCATATCCCACCTCCCCCTACCTGGGCCAAATGGGAACGCAGATGTGTGGCCCCAGCAGCCCCCGCCGCCCCCCTCCTTGGGAACCTAGGCTCGGGCTCAGTTTTTCTCACCTGCACGCGAGGCTTGGGGCCCCGAGCTGTTCGCACCCAGGTGTGGGGCCGCCCCTGGCCATATGGGGCGACTTTATGGCCGGGTGGCCGGATCCGGGCGGGAGGAAGGATGACCCAGCGCTCCACCCACGTCAACTACTCGCGGCCACTTCTTCGCTGAGCCCCTGACCTACACCGTCTGCCTGACCACGGCCGTCTCAACGTCTCACAAGCTCGAGTAGGGCTACTGAAAAGTTTCTCTCGGCTGCATTGGTGGTTCAGTGGTAGAATTCTCGCCTGCCACGCGGGAGGCCCGGGTTCGATTCCCGGCCAATGCACTTCCTGCTTTCGGGTTTTTCTCTTTTGGTTTTTTCCCCTTTCCCCAAAGAGGGGAGAAGTCTCATGTGCCTGAGAAGTCTCTTTGTTTAACATTTCTACCAAATATTAACACTTCACTTTTTTACTCTATCGCAGAGTTTGAGGCTCTGGATCGAAACCCTGATTCCGTAGGTCCTCACACTTCCATCCTCCCGGCCCGGGGGTCCTGCTGCCTCCCACACCCCTCCCTCCGCCCCTCGCCCCCCACCTCCGCGGGCGTGACCCTGAGAAAGGACGCGGCGCTCGGATCCCCGCCCCGGGGGTCCTCTCAGCCCTCCGCGGGGGAGGGGCGAGGTCTTCCCGCCCCACACGCTCCAAGGCCCTTGCTCTTCTTTCCATTTCTCTTCCTAGCTCTCTCTCTTATTTTCTGTTCCCTCTGAAGTCCGCTTTCTTTTTCTAAGTCCCTGGGTCTCGGTCGTTTTTGTCTCGCCGTCTTGCTGTGTCTCTGCGTTCCTCTTGGCGTCTCGATCTCTGTAGCTTTCACGTTCTTTCCCGGTCTCTTAGCAACTTCTGCTCTGGCCTCTCCGGGTCTGTAGTTGTCTCTCTACATCTCTGGCTCTGGGTCTCTCTGGCCTCTCCGTCTGTCTCTGCGTCTGCGTCTCGGTCTCTGTGTGTCTCCGGGTCTCTGGGATCTCTCGTCGTCTCTCCGGGTCTCTGTCGCCTGCCGGCACTCTGCGCTCCCACGCTCCTGCCATCCCTTGGGAAGCTCGCTCACACCTCCGGGTTCCTGCCCCCCCCCCCAGCCCCCGGCCGCCCCCTCCCGGCGGCTTTGATCCCGCACGCGTCGGGCCGGCGGGCGGCCACCTGTGAGCGGGGCGGGGCTGCCGGGCTCCGCGCTCGCGGCGCTGGTTTTCCGCTGTCGCGGCGCGTTCGGCCTCCCTCCGCGCCCTCCTCCCGGCGCGCTCACCGGCTGCTGCCGGGCTTCTGCGGGCCCGGGGCTGTGGTTCGCCGAGCCTGGGTCTCGGTCTGTCTGGGTACCTCTCTGGAGCTTGCCCTGGGTCTCTGTCTCTGTCTCTGGTTTCTGGTTTCTCTTTCAGCCTGTTTCATCTGGATTGTGTCAGTGACTGCTTTCTTCTCAACTCTAAGCCGTGACAATGGCTCCCAGAAGGAAAGTGTACAACAGCCTGGGCATCTGTATGCCTGTGCGCGCAGCCGCTGCGTTTATTCACTCAGCCGATATTTATGGAGTGCCTCCTGTGTGCCAAGTATTGTTAGGCATGGAGGGTACATTGGGCCTGGGCTCTCCTGAATCTTACATCATAGTGGGAGGCGGGAGCAGAAAATAACTAAGAAAGCAGAAAATAATGCAAGTTCAGATTGTTGAGGGGGTTAGGGGCGGAGGACAACTAGACCCAGCAATGACTTGAGGGTGAAGTGCTACTTACTTTATGTACTTTACTCTGAGTGGCAGAGACAGCCTCTATGATGAGGCGATATTCGAGGCCAGCACAGCCAGCTATGAGTCCAAGCAAAAGGAACAGCACGTACAAGGGCCCTGAGGCAGGAACAGGCTTTGCTGGTGGGAGCTAGAGAAAGAGGGAGGGTGTCCCTGGGTCAAAGAATTTGGAGCTTGGCAGAGATAAGAAGAGAGAGGCAGGCATAGCCCATCACACGTGCCTTAGAGGTTCCGGAAGGAGTTTGGATTTGAGTCTAAGTACAATGGGAAGCCAAAGGAAGGTTTTAATCAGGAAAGTTATATTCACTGACTTATGACTGTAAAGATCACTTTGGCTGCTGTGTAGAGGATGGAAGCAGGGAGATCATTTGGGTTGCTGGAGCAGTCTTCTAGGAACACATGATGGTGGTTCCTACTGAGGTGGCAGCAGTGGAGAGAGAAAGTGAACTTCTAGGTTTTTGGCTTAAGTAACTGGGTGGATGGTGGTGCCGTTTACTGAGATGGGAAACACCGGGGAGGATGGGAAAAGGTTTGGGGAGAGAAATCAAAAAAATTATACTTTAGACAGGTTAGTTGAGATCCCCTTAGATATCCAAGAGGAGGCTACAGGTCAGCCAGGGATATACAAGTTTGGGGTCAGAGCTGGAAGGTAAATATGGGGCAGTCATTGGGAGCTAGGTGGTTTTTAATGCTATGAGAGAGAAGAGTAGAGGCGAACAAGGAGCCCTGGGGCACCCCAACACTTAGAGGTCAAGTTGAGGAGGAAGAATTGTCAAAGGAATATAGTTATCAGAGAGGTAGCAGAAAAGCCAGGGGACTGGAGAGTCCTGGAAAACAAGAAAAGATCATGTATGAAGGAGGGCGCCATCATCTCTAGCTAAGCTGCTGGGAGGTCAAGTAACAAGAAGAGAACAAAGAAACCGTCTAGTTTAGCATCTTGGGAGTCACGGATGACCTGGGGGGAGAGTGACTCTGTGCAGCCCACTTGAGGGGGTCAAGGTAAGAAGGGGATGTGAAGGTAGGCAGAAAGTGGCTGTAGACACAACTCTGTCAAGTTTTGCTGTGAATGCAGAGGTTAAAAATGGTGGCAGCCAGGAGCACAAGAAAGAGATGAGGGTTGCTAGGGCACGGTTGGTGCTGAATAACCCAGACCTGGGCGGGGGGGGGCGGGTAGACTCCAGTGCCAGGTGGGGAAATCAGCCTCAGGTGGTAGGGAAGACTCCTCACCCACAGGGAGATGGGGAAGACAGAGGGTGTGGGTCAGCTGGGGTGTGGGAAGGATGAGGCAAGTTCTCTCTGGTTGCTTCCATTTTCTCAAAGAAGAATGAATCAAGTTCATTGGTGGAAGGGAGAGAGCTACAAGTCTTTTGTGGAGAAAGAAGATATGAAATGTTCATTTTGGAGAGTAGGAAAACAAACCTAGGCTAGGAGAATAGGATTTCTAGAGAGGTTGAGGGTCCACTTGAGTGTGGGATCAAAAATTTCAAGTTCGGAGGCCAATTCACAGTGAAGCTAATGAAGTGTATGCTTCAGGACCCCTCCCTTACACAGGCCCTTGGGAGGGCTCTAGGAATGTGTTCACATGGCCATATGCTTCTGTAAAATTGGCAAAATTAAGACATTTTAACTGCAAATCGTAAAGACCACTGTCTCTTTCCCCTCCGGCTTCCCCTCTGTCACCTTTTCCCCCTGGTGTTGGAGTGGCTGTGGGCATCTTGGGAATCTGGTTATGGAGAAGGTGAGGTGGGGAGACATAATATTTATGGTTTTGTGGGATATGTTGAGTGATTCCCAGTCACTTCCACCTACAGTTAAGTTAGCCTAGCCATCCTGGTGTAGGAATGGCTTGCAGGAATACTCCTATCACCTG